TGGGTGATATATGTATAGTTTAACCCTTTGAAGACGATGATTTAACCCTTTGAAGACGATGATTTAACCCTTTGAAGACGATGGTTTAACCCTTTGAAGACGATGATTTAACCCTTTGAAGACGATGATTTAACCCTTTGAAGACGATGATTTAACCTTTGAAGACGATGATTTAACCCTTTGAAGACGATGATTTAACCCTTTGAAGACGATGATTTAACCCTTTGAAGACGATGGTTTAATCACTTAGAAGACGATGATTTAACCTTTGAAGACGATGAAACTTGAGACGATGGTTTAACTTTGAAGACGTGATTTAACCTTGAAGACGATGGTTTACCTTTACGATGATTTACGAAGGATGTTAACTTGACGATGGTTAACTTTGAAGACGATGATTAACCTTGAAGAGATGTTTAACTTGACGAGTGATTTAACCGGAAGACGTGAACCGACAACGTTTTAACCTTAAGACGATGGTAACCTTGAGACGATGAAACCTAAGAGAATTTAACCTTTGAAGACGATGATTTAACAGAGTTTAATTGAGGATGATTTAACCTTGAAGACGATGATTTCCTTTGAAGACGATGTTTAACTTGAAGACGATGATTAACCTGAAGACGATGTTTAACCTGAAGATGGTAATCACTTAGAAAGTAATTAAGGCGAAAAGTAATTGAATTAAAAGTATATATAGTTTTATAAAATAGAGATAAAGAAAAGGGTCCATAACATACTGTAATAAATAGGTAAAATAACTAAGAAAAATGGGTCGTAAGATGGTTTTAGTCCTAATGGGTTTCAGTCCTAATGGGTTTTAGTCCTAATGGGTTTCTAATGGGTTTCAGTCCTAATGGGAGTGTGGAGAAGGAGTGTGGGGCTCTGTCAATGTATTAACAAACTCATCCATACACACACACATACGGTAGGAAATTCTATCTGTCTGTTGTCTCTCTGTCTGTCTGTCTGTCTGTCAATATATACGCTTCTCTCTGGTGTAAGTTTAGTCAACAATATAAACTGACAATAAATCTGACATTGTTTATATGTGTCATCCTTGGGAGAGGTTCTTCAGAGGGGTACAGGAACTGGTCCACCATTACATTGACAAACTTCATCTCATTTTCTCATTTACCACAAAATTTATGTCTTTTATTATGTTTTCCTGATGTTATGAACGTCTTGGATGACTGAATTTAAACTAGGAAAGTGCTTAGTGGTTAGATTATGTCTCACACGCAGGGTAGGGTCACAGGATCGATTCCCGGCCAGAGTGGGGGGCTGACTTCCCTCCCTGTGGGTTAACTCTTATGCACTCATTAATAATTAAGGACACTATAGGGTGTCTTAGATGGTGGAACAACCCTTGGGTGGACCAGCATCCTGCCAGGGGGGTGGAGTAACCCACTAGCTGCTGAATGATGGTGGAACAACCCTTGGGTGGACCAGCATCCTGCCAGGGTGGTGGAGTAACCCACTAGCTGCTGAATGATGGTGGAACAACCCTTGGGTGGACCAGCATCCTGCCAGGTGGTGGAGTAACCCACTAGCTGCTGAATGATGGTGGAACAACCCTTGGGTGGACCAGCATCCTGCCAGGGTGGTGGAGTAACCCACTAGCTGCTGAATGATGGTGGAACAACCCTTGGGTGGACCAGCATCCTGCCAGGGTGGTGGAGTAACCCACTAGCTGCTGAACACCAAGAACAAGTGATCAGTACCTACCTGGCCTCCCTAGACAATAATTAAAAAAACTTACCTGAACGAGACAAAGAACAAATTAATAAGATAACTCAGTAGTCGTTCATCTCCCCGGTAAAGACCGCCCCTTCCTCAACTCATTAACATCAAGCGGCTGTAAAGTAATGGGTGTTTGTATTGCATCTCTGTCGGGGTCTTTAGGCAACACGAATTTATGAGGTGTCTTGTGTTGTGGGGGGCTGTATATTTTTTTGAGCTTCACGTGTTAATAGCTGGTGTGTAGTGGGTGTAGGTGTAGAGAGGATGTGTAGATGTGTAGGTGGTGGGGTGTAGGTGTAACGGTCAGCATGCTCGCCTCGCAAGCAAATAGTCCTGGAGTCGATCCCCAGGCAGGGTGAAACTATGGGCAAGTTTCTTTACGCCATTTGCCTCTGTCTACCCAGCAGTAATTGGGAACTTGGATGTTAATCGATTTACGGATCGTGTTCTGGGGTAATGGTTAGCCAGTGCAGTTGGTGAGTTGTCCGGTCTTCTTGTAATCTTCCTTGATACTGGGTCATACAGCTCGTTAACACAGGGTGTGGTCGATGTGTTGGCGACAGCTTCTACACCTTAAACAAATTCATGCCTTGGTGACCCTAGGGCCGGCCATCCTCAAACACGAGGGGCAACCATTATTGTGTTAGGTGTGGGTGTGGGGAGGACTGGCTGGGGTGTGGGGAGGACGGGTTGGGGGAGTGTGGGGAGGACTGGCTGGGGGGGTGTGGAGGACAGGTTAGGGGGTGGTGGGTGTAGGTGTGTGGGTGTGGGGAGGACTGGCTGGGGTGGTGGGTGTAGGTGTGGGTGTGGGGAGGACGGCCGGGGGGGGTGTGGGTGTGGGTGTGGGGAGGACTGGCTGGGGGGGGTGTGGGTGTGGTGTGGGTGTGGGGAGGACGGCTGGGGGGGTGTGGGTGTGGCTGGGGTGTGGGGAGGACGGGCTGGGGTGTGGTGTAGCTGGTGTGGGGAGGACGGGCTGGGGGTGTGGGCACAGCTGGGGTGTGGGGAGGACCTTGGGGTAGCTGGTCATGGAGACAGGAGACGTTGGAATGGATTCTGCGAAATCAGGTCCCATCTGTGACGCCACCAGAGGAACTGTCAACAGAACGACGTGGATCTGGCGAGGCACTCAGAAATATTAGGCTGTGAATTATGCTGTTAAGTCGCAATTTTCGGGAGTAAAGAATTACATTACGTCGTACTGCATTACATAGAGATATACGGTAAATCCTCCGAAGCAGAAAATTAGGTTCGGGGAATCACCCACACCGGAACACTAGAGTATTTAGTAATGAACCTGTGTTAGTTCCTGGAGGATTTTTTTTTTACGAGTGAGAATGAATCGGTCCCGTAGGCCTGGCCGTCCTTAAGGGGTCGTGTGGGCCTGGCCGTCCTTAAGGGGTCGTGTGGGCCTGGCCGTCCTTAAGGGGTCGTGTGGGCCTGGCCGTCCTTAAGGGGTCGTCTGGGCACAATACACGAGGCCCTATTAAGTGTACTCTTCCTTTTTTAAAACACAAAAGGAGGCACCACGACAGACACTGCACACGACCACCTTCAATTCCCTAACTGTAAAATCAGGTACCCATTTTACATCTGGGGGTTACCCTGGACACGAACCAGCAACTCTAGGACAGTTCGTATTTCAGCAAACAAGGTCATTCGAGCATTTTATTTGTTTATTATTTACACTACTAAGTATAAACATTTATCAACACTAGACGGTATATCAACCTCTTCTCTGTGTTTACAAGAGTTCACCGTCAGAGGAGTGTGTTAGCTGACCCGCCTTAGACAAGTGCTGTATAAGGAACTGCCACGCCCTTAAAAAAATAGCTGCCCTTCTCTCTGTTCTAACTAGGGGAAAAAGAATGTGTTCTAATTGAGTGTGTGGTGATGCTGTTATGTTTAGTGTGTGTTGGGAGTGTGTTGCGTTTAGTGTATTTTGAGTGTGTTGTGTTTAGTGTGTGTTGAGTGTGTTGCGTTTAGTGTATTTTGAGTGTGTTGTGTTTAGTGTGCGTTGAGTGGGTATAATGTTTATATTAAGAGTATAGATGATGAAGGTATTATTATCATTCATTAGAGAAATAAAGTTTACATGACTTAGGTTAGGTTAGGTTAGGTTAGGTTAGGTTAGGTTAGGTTAGGTTAGGCCCTCACTCACTACAGCAGCTATCTGTTGTTTTAAAACTTGTCTAAATTCTTCCCAAGACTTCCTAAATCGACTGAAATGCTCCTCCTCCTCCTTCTTCTTCTGTTTCTTCTTCTTCTTCTTCTGTTTCTTCTTCTTCTTCTTCTTCTTCTTCTTCTTCTTCTTCTTCTTCTTCTTCGTTCTTCTTCTTCTTCTGTTTCTTCTTCTTCTTCTTCTGTTTCTTCTTCTTCTTCTTCTTCTTCTTCTTCTTCTTCTTCTTCTTCTTCTTCGTAAGTTTGACTCTTTCGAATGCAATATCCCAGTTAATACAATCCTACTTTTGTGTTCCTCCTCCTCTTCCTTCTCCTCTTCATCCTCCTCTTCCTCCTCCTCTTCCTCCTGCTCTTCCTCCTACTCTTCCTCTTTCTCTTTCTTCAACCCACACATTTTCTTCCTCATCCACACCCTAGTCTTCCCCTCCTCTTCCTCCTCCTCCTCCTCTTTATTTCTTCCCCTTCCTCTTTCTCCTCCTTTTTCCTCCTCTTCCTCCTTCACCTCCTCTTTCCTTCTTCCCCTTCCTCCGTCTTCATTCCACACAAATTTTCTTCCTCATACACACCCTTGTCTTCCCCTCCTCTTCCTCCTCCTCCTTCTTCTTCTTTCCCTCCTCTTCCTCCTCCTCCTTCTTCTTCTCCTGCTGCTCTTCTTCCTCCTTCTTCAAACCAACACACACTCTTACCACCCACATGCAGCCTTTAAACTCTCTCTCTCTCTCCACGGCCTCTCAGAGTGCAAAGTTCCCTCGTGTGTCAACAAGACCGTGTATATGGTACAGGAGTATGGCAAGGCTCCAGTAGTTTGAAGTGTTGCCGCCAGGGGGAAGTCTCTCACGCCAGCCAGAATGTAAACAAAGAATCTTACGTTTCTTTTATCCGAATGCTTGTGGAGGATGTTATTCCTACAACACTGGTGGTGGTGGTGGTGTTATTACTACATCTTCAACTACCACCAGGTCACTATCACCTCCAGGTATATAAAACAGGTCACTATCACCTCCAGGTATATAAAACAGGTCACCTCCAGGTATATAAACAATAATAACATAAAACATCTCTTTCTCTCTTCCCTTCAGGATCTTCGGCGGCGTTAGAGATCCAGGAGGTGCAGGTGCCACGGTACAAGGTGAGAGGGTCGCGGGCTGAACTCTCCTGCAGGTACACGCTGGCCAACGCTACACTCTACAGTCTCAAGTGGTACAAGGGAGACAAGCTCTTCTATCAGTATATCCCCGCTAACAACGTCACCAAGAACACCTTTAATGTCGCTGGTGTTAATATTGACGTGAGTGATTCTGTTTTTTTGTCTGTGTGTGTGTGTGTGTGTGTGTGTGTGTGTGTGTGTGTGTGTGTGTGTGTGTGTGTGTGTGTGTGTGTGTAAATGTGTGTGAAAGAGAGTATGCTTCTGTGTGTATGTGTGTGTTTGTAAATGCTCATGTGTACATGTATGTGTGTGTTTTTGCAATGCTCGTGTATGTCTGTATAATATAGCGCACATGTGTTTATGGTAATTCACAGAGACTTCACTACCATCTATCGTAAATCCTGACATAAATGAATTTACCTTATCTTACCTGAGAAAACGTTAATTACATATGACCTCACCTTATCTTACCTGAGAAAACGTTAATTACATGACCTCACCTTATCTTACCTGAGAAAACGTTAATTACATGACCTCACCTTATCTTACCTGAGAAAACGTTTATTACATGATCTCACATTATCTTACCTGAGAAAACGTTAATTACATGACCTCACATTATCTTATGAGTATCTGTAGTCTAAGTTATGGTATAATTCCCTCATTATCATAGTATCTTTAATTATAGTGACTTTTTGGCTATTGTTTTTGCATCTAGTGTGTGAAAATAGCCCAAGATCTATTATTAGAGACTATTATTAGGCGCTATTTTCACCGTATGATTTTAATGGTATATTTATTAATGAATGTTGTTGTTAAATGAAGTTGTTAAATCCCGGTTGTAAAAACAAATGGTCTCACGTTATATCGAGGTTCTGTTAGATGTGAAACCTCCACATAATAAACTATATCGAGATGAAAATCCGTTGTATCGAGAATCCGTTATATCAGAACTCCCATATAACGGATTATAATGGGGAAAGAAGTTCGTTATATAAAGATTTCACTATATACCATCCAGTTTCGTGACGTAATTGATGACGTGGGTTGGGCATCATTGGTTGACTGTATAGAATGACGTAATTGATGACGTGGGTTGGTCATCATGGGTTGACTGTAGAGAATGACGTAATTGATGACGTGGGTTGGTCATCATGGGTCGAGGAGGATGGGTTGTGGACACAGGCTGGCAAATTGTCAATGAAAATTAATCATGCGTGTTATAACCTGTCATTTTTTTTATTTGGATAGAGAATTAAATTATTATATGACACACACACACACACACACACACACACACACACTCATACCCTGAATGGTTCACTATAGGAGTCCTCACGTTAGGTTAGATTAGGTTAGGTCAATGAGTCTTATCTTTAAAATAAACTAAATGGTTTATATTATATAACAAGGAGACCTGTTTATACATTAACCTCAAAAACAATTAAATCAACATTAAAAAACTATAAATAAAATAGCTTCAAAAACCAGGATTATAAAGGAAGTAAAAGGAATCATGTAAACAAGAGACGTAAAGGTGGGGTTTAGAGACACGAAGGAGGATCCAAGACCATCAAGGCTCACCTGCGTGGTTCTGGTGTTTATTTTAATCAAGGACGTTGTCACAGGAGATAAACAACAAGACGGATCTCTTCCCCTTTTAGATGCCGCTATTTGTAAACTTCGTCGTCTTAAGAGATGAAGAGAGATGCAACGACATTTAAAGAGACGTTTACCAGACAGACACACGGAGAAAAACAAGGCTGGGGATCTGTTTGACGATAATAGACGACACAGTTTGTTAATGAAGACTTTTATCAGAGTAGAGTAACAAATGACGATCACATTAAGAGCTTATAATAACAAATGACGATCACATCAACAGTATATAATAACAAATGACGATCACATTAACAGCTTATAATAACAAATGACGATCACATTAAGAGCTTATAATAACAAATGACGATCACATTAACAGCTTATAATAACAAATGACGATCACATTAACAGCTTATAATAACAAATGACGATCACATTAACAGCTTATAATAACAAATGACGATCACATTAACAGCTTATAATAACAAATGACGATCACATTAACAGATCTTATTATAATAACAAATGACGATCACATTAACAGCTTATAATAACAAATGACGATCACATTAACAGCTTATAATAACAAATGACGATCACATTAACAGCTTATAATAACAAATGACGATCACATTAACAGCTTATAATAACAAATGACGATCACATTAACAGCTTATAATAACAAATGACGATCACATTAACAGCTTATAATAACAAATGACGATCACATTAACAGCTTATAATAACAAATGACGATCACATTAACAGCTTATAATAACAAATGACGATCACATTAACAGCTTATAATAACAAATGACGATCACATTAACAGCTTATAATAACAAATGACGATCACATTAACAGCTTATAATAACAAATGACGATCACATTAACAGCTTATAATAACAAATGACGATCACATTAAGAGCATAATAACAAATGACGATCACATTAACAGCTTATAATAACAAATGACGATCAAACATTAAAAGACGATCACATTAACAATAACAAATGACGATCATTAACAGCTTATAATAACAAATGACGATCACATTAATGACTTATAATAACAAATGACGATCACATTAACAGCTTATAATAACAAATGACGATCACATTAAGAGCATAATAACAAATGACGATCACATTAACAGCTTATAATAACAAATGACGATCACATTAACAGCTTATAATAACAAATGACGATCACATTAACAGCTTATAATAACAAATGACGATCACATTAACAGCTTATAATAACAAATGACGATCACATTAACAGCTTATAATAACAAATGACGATCACATTAAGAGCTTATAATAACAAATGACGATCACATTAACAGCTTATAATAACAAATGACGATCACATTAACAGCTTATAATAACAAATGACGATCACATTAACAGTATATAATAACAAATGACGATCACATTAAGAGCTTATAATAACAAATGACGATCACATCAACAGTATATAATAACAAATGACGATCACATTAACAGTATATAATAACAAATGACGATCACATTAAGAGCTTATAATAACAAATGACGATCACATCAACAGCATATAATAACAAATGACGATCACATTAACAGTATATAATAACAAATGACGATCACATTAACAGTATATAATAACAAATGACGATCACATTCAGGAAATAAGCAACCATAAGCACAGAAGAACAATAATAAAACAATAAAAATATAGAAAGGAGTAAATAAACCACGAGACAGAAGACAATAACAATGGGAAGCACAGACGAGGACAACAGACGAGAACAACAGACGAGAACAACAGACGAGAACAACAGACGAGGACAACAGACGAGAACAACAGACGAGAACAACAGACGAGAACAACAGACGAGAACAACAGACGAGAACAACAGACGAGGACAACAGACGAGAACAACAGACGAGAACAACAGACGAGACTTTCTGTGATCAAACACTGCCGAAGAAATTGAAGGTGTGTGTGTGTGTGTGTGTGAGAGAGACCCGAGCTAGCTGATGTAGGGAGGTGACTGCTGGCCGGCGAGGATAACGGGAGGAAAATGAGGACAGTAAGGTGAGGCGAGAGAATTCCTGGGTGGATACCGAGTCACACAAGGACGGGATTGTATTACCAAGCAGAGGTATTCGTAGGAGGGAGGATTGTCACACGTATTGGGGAGAAAATGAAAAGAAGGGGAGGAAGAGGTACCGTGGACAGGTTGCCAGGGAAAGTATATTGGTGGGAGAATGCAGTGAGGGAGAGGGGAGGGTGTTGGGGAGAGGGAGGGTGTTGGGGAGAGGGAGGGTGTTGGGGAGAGGAGGGTGTTGGGGGAGAGGGAGGGTGTTGGGGAGAGGAGGTGTTGGGGAGAGGGAGGTGTTGGGGAGAGAGGAGGTGTTGGGGAGGAGGGAGGGTGTTGGGGAGAGGGAGGGTGTTGGGGAGAGGGAGTATGAGGCAGGAACACAAGGGAGGGAAGAAGAGATGAGGGGAGAGGGATGGAGGAAGGGAGAAGGGGGGTTAAGAGAGAGGGAGGAAGGAAGGAAGGAAGGAAGCGAGAGGGAACATGAGGGAATGAAATAAGGGAGAGGGAATGGGTAGAAAGAGGGAGAAAGGGAGAGGGAGGGAGAAGAAGGGATGAAGGAATAAAGAGAAGGCAAGAGAGTATACCAACAGAGAGCTCTTAGAGTGTGGAAGAAGCCTACCAAGAGCTCAGGCAGGCAGGCAGAGAGTCAGCGCTCATTACCATGGGTCTTCCACCTTGTGTAGTGTCCCATCCCTCAGTTTTATGTCTCATTAAGGGGTTATCTGAGTGTCACCTCCTTCAGCGGGTAAATAACTACCTGACGTAACTACATACACGTTATTTATCAGTAGGTGAGATGTTTATACTCCCCTGACTGTAGAGTTATCGCGTCTTGCTGCTCGGGAATAAGTACCAATGTATGTATTATAACAGCGTGACTCGTTCTAGTGATGTACTTCCTATACCTGAGAGAGAGAAATGCGAGGAATAACAACATCAGAATTTATATGGTGGGGAGGGGCTGGGAGGGGGGGGTAGGGGCTGGAGGGGAGGGGCTGGGAGGGAGGGAGGGGTGTGGGGGAAGGGGTGTGAGGAGGGCTGGGAGGGGAGGGGTGTGGGAGAGGGTGGGAGGGGGGTGGGGGGGAGTGGAGGGTGTGGGGAGTGGGGAAGGAGGATGTCCACTAAGTTGGTGATTTAAAGCGGAGGTAAGTTGCCTCCAGCCAGGGTCCACTAGACAGTTATGGTCCATTCCGCAGCTCTACGGTGCTGGGAATATTTTCTACCTGGTTCATTGATCACACAGGAGAGAACACCCCTTTCCCCTTCCCTGCTTCCCCCCTTTTCTTCCTCCTTTCTCCTTTCCTCCCCCTTCCCCCCTCTCCTCCTCCTCCTCCCTCACAGGTTTCACTGATAGAGTCCTTCATGGTAATCCTTCTCGCTAGACACCAAGTCCTCACTCACTTCCTTCTCTCTCTTATTCAAATCCACAAACATTTCCTCCCTCCCCTTCTC